ATGGTCTATTAATGAATCACAAGCTACAGTATTCTTTTCCATAGATTTTGATAGGTATAGGAGTATTAGACAATTATTCAGTTAAAATATTTTAATTAAGTGTAAATATCTAAAATGTGATTTTGCATGACACTGATTTTTGAGTGCTATACAAATATCATAATAACCAAGCAACCTCTGGTACAAGAAGTTCAGCGTCTCAATCAACTTTAGTCGTCTAAAGCCTGGTTAGCAAACAGCCCAAGGGCCCAATCCTGTCCCCCTCCCCTGCCCCCATGGTTTTGTGAGGCCTGGGAGCTAAGAATATTTCTATATTTTTTTAATGGTTGGAAAAATTAAAAGAATATTTTGTGACACATGAAAAGTACATAAAATTCAAATGTCAAAGCCCATAAATAAAAACTTTATTAGAATACAACCAGGCTCATTTGTTTACATATTTTCTCTGGCTGCTTTCGTGCTACAACTGCAGAGCTGAGAAGTTGCAACAGAAACTGGATGGTCTGCAAAGTCTAAGATATGGACTATCTGGGCTCTTACAGAAAATAGTTTGCTGACCCTTGTCTATGCCACTTACACATTTAGCCGCAATTTGGACTTCTGAATTGTTTTCTCTGGAATCCTGAAAAAATTTTAAACTCTTTTTTCTAGAAAGAACACTATAGTAGTCTTGCTCTGAAAAAAATGTTGACAATCTGGGCTGATTTGAAATGACACCATTAGGTTATGGCTGCAGTGTCTAGTCAGTCTAGCTTTAAAGTCCACCTCCCGCACTCATCTAAATACATTAGAGTTATCTCTAGATGGTAAAGCCGGGTCTTACTACCCAACCTGTCCTTCCGTTATTCATCCTGACTGCGTTACGGGTTTAGTTTCACATTATGAGTTCATCCAGGCTTCTTGAATCATTTATAGGGATTTTCATTTTTGCTCTCAAACTCTTACACACTTTCTCTGCTGTGAATTTTTTTTTCAGCATAAAACTGTAAGTATGAAATGGCCTACACATGTAAACTAAAGCCTATACTTTAGTTTTTAGCCTTAAGAAATCAGAATTTTTAAAAATGGCTTTTTCTTGGGAAACTAAAGTTAATTTTACAGGTCACAGAAGTAGGAAAATACCTTCATATCCAAGGATCTCAAAGCACCTCTGGTGGAGATACATAACAAGGTAAAGAACGTCTATTTTTAAATACTGTTTACTTCCTGGAGGAAATACTATTTAATGGAAAAGATGAAAAAGAGTCTGAGATTATTTGGGTTCTGACTCAGTTTGACTTTGGGCAAATCATCTTACCACTGTTGCTCTTTATCTGCAAAAACTGGACTTCATGCCTATGGGAGTTGCATGGCTAATCAATGCCTGGAAAATGCGTAGTGGCAGATGCTACAAAAGTGCTGAGCCTTAAAAACAAAACCACCCCCACCCCCCATTTGTATTCAGTAGAGGCTGAGGTTTATTGTTATTTAACGTTCGAAGGCCAACACTATGTGAAGTCCAGCGTGCTGCACAGGACAGATAATATCGCTGTCCTGCAGGGATTTAAAAAAAAAAATCTAGTATTTTGGACTTTTTTCTTTATTGTGGTTTGGGATTATTTTAGAATTCAGTAGTATATCTACCCAAAAACATTAAGCTTTAAGTTGAAAACTATCGATTAAAAAAAAAATCTAAATAAACCCCCTCCAAAAAATAAAAACGGCCCTCCCCCGCCCCTCCAAGAAACCTCTCAAAACAAGAATTCTCTTGTTTTTTTTTTTCCTCCCTGCAGTTCTCCATGTTACAGTCCTTGGAGGTAGTAGAATAGGCATAAAATACTTTCACTAATAAAATATGACAAACCGCCGGATTATACGTGGCCGATTCCCAGTGATTGCCCTGCTACACAAAGCAGAAAAGTAAATGCCATCATCCCCCTTAGAACAAAAGAACTTAGGAATAAAAAACATGGAGAGGGGGGGAGAAAGCAGCAATAAATAAAGGTGAGCGAAGGACCCCGTCCCCCGCCCCTCCCCGAAGCGACTGTGGGACCAAGTACGGCTAATAAAAGTGGTTCAAGGGTAGTTATTTGGAAAGGGGGCGGGGTGGAGAGGGGAGGGAGCGAGCGGCGGCCGGGGATTGCATGTTGCATTCGACTTGAGGTTGCATCTTTCTCCTGTTGCCTGGACCACGCTCCTTCATTGCAGTGCTTCCCCGTGGCTTCCCATCGCTCCTGCCCTCGCCGTTTCCCCCACTCGCCCATCCTCAAAACTGCTGTTGCACTGGAGGGAGTTGGGGCCGCTCCGGAGCCCCGATGCAGCTCCTGCCGGCGGGAGGG